AGGATGGCCCCACAAACACACCAGGTCTCAGTCTCCTGGGATGAGACCTTGACCCAAGGTCACTTGTTTCCCTGCTGACTCCAAGGTTGAAGCTCCTTCCCCAGGGAATCAACTCTAAACTCTTCACCCCTAGGATGGGCTGGAGGAGGGAAGAGGTCATAGGCTAGCAATAGGGGTGGCTCCTGGAGGGGTGAGGGAGGGAGGAAATAGGGGCTGAAATACACTGCTGAGTGGAGCAGCGGGTAAGACATGAGAGGTCTGCTGCTCCACGTGGGTCACCTCCCTGGCCGGGAGATCGAACTTGTGCTGCAGTGGCTGCAGATAGCTTCATAGTGCTGCGTCTTAACCCTTGTGCCACCAGAGAGGCCCCTAAAAATCAACTTTATTTTGAAGGACAGTTTTGGTGGATATAGAATTCTTACTTGGCCTCCTTTTCCTAGAGGGCCTTGAGTATTTCACTGCAGGCTCTTCTGTCCTCAGCTGTTCTGAAGAGAAACCAGCCATTGATCAAATTGTTGCTCCTGGTGCATTAGTCATTTACATGTTTGTAACAATTACTGTAAAAGTATGCAGCTTAAAACAACAAAGATTTGGTATTTCACACATTTTCTGTGGGTGAGGAGTCCAGAGAACTTCAGTTTGGTGATTTCAGCTCGGGGGTCTCACGAGGCTGCAATCATGATGTCAGGCCAAAGAAAAGGCTTGATGGACATGGAAGGATCTACATAAAGGCTCATGCATGTGGCTGCTGGAAAACAGCCTCACTTCCTCACCATGTGAGTGTCGCCTTATCTGAGTGCCCACTCAGTGCAGCACGGCAAATATCTTACCCCAGAGAGTGAGCAGGAGAGATCAAGCAGGAGATCACAGCTCCTTTTGAGCCTTACTGTGAAGTGGCACAGGCACCCCAGCCTCCTCCATGAGCAGGGAGCCAGCAAGTCCAGGGACTCACAAGAGGGAAACTGGCCTTGACCTCTTGAGCATAAAAAAAAATGGTGGATATTTGAAAAACTTCTACTGTCCATCATCTGGCCACTAAATATTTATATCCTTTTGTCAAAGAGAGAGAAGTATTCTGATACCTTGTAGAGAGTGGTCAGGCTTTATTCAAACAAGCAACATGGAGAAATCACACTTAATTCCAAATACATTAAAGATCTAAGATTTAACACATCTGGAATCTTTTTTATTTTTCTGGGGATTCCTTTTCTTCCCCACTGAAGTTGAACATTTGCCAGAACCAGGCAAAATCTGCCCCTGCAGTGTGCACAGCTGGGCCCCTGCTCTGTTGCTTCAGTCTCCACTTGCTGCATTTCCATCCTGGGTCTTGAATTTGACTTGTCTCCATGTGATTCAATGGTCAACCAAGGTTTTGGACTGGATGTTGGCTTTTACTCACTTGTTCCTGGCGTACCCAAATACCCAAATGCAGCCACCAGATCTGATGTTTGATTCCTCAATTCAGTAAGATTTTTGCTTCTGGTTCTCTGAGCATGAGTGGATTGGGAAAGTCATCAGTCTTAGGTGCAGACTCACAGATTGCACCAGGATGAGTCTGTCACTCAAGGGTAGAATGCCCTCTAAGTTCTTCCTGGTTTTCCAGCAGTTTCTCTTGAGTGTCCCACACCTCAGCACAGTTTAGTGGTCATTCAGGGATTTGACAGAGTTTGTTTTCAGATTTGGGATGTCACCTCTCCATCTGTTGTTGAAATACATGTTGCTTAAACTATCTGGATATGCCATATTTTAAGGATATACCTAAAATCCACGTATAAAAATCCATGACTTCCACACAAAGGTAATTTTTTTATACATTATATTTTATTATACAATTTTATTATACAACAAAATATTGGGGGGCAGATACTGAAACTCAGGTATGTACTGTCAATATGGTAGCTACAAGCCACATATGGCTTTTAATTTAATTTAATTTTTTTAAACAAACAGTTTTTTTTTAAAGATTTATTTATTTATTATTTATACAAGCACTGGGTACAGTCAGAAGCGCGGGAGGGTGAGAGAATTCACAAGAGCCAGAGCAGGCAGAAGGACCGAAGTACACAGCTGAGGGGAGCAGCGGGCGGCAGGAGAGGTCTGCGCACCATGTGGGACCCTCCTCCGGTGGCTGGGGAGCAGCCTGGGATCGAACGGGCGCTGCAGAGGCCACAGGCAGCTTTGCAACCCAGTGCTCAACCGCTATGCCACCAGGGAGGCCGGGCTTTTTAATTTTAAATGATATATAGTAAAATATGCAATATCTCAGCTTATGAGCCACATTTCAAGTGTTCAATAGTTAGAGGCACCATATTGGTCAGTGCATATATAGAACATTTTTTCGTCCAGAACATTCTGTTGGCCAGCACAGCTCTTCATGCTTTGGGAGCATCAAGACAGATGCATTAAACACATAAAATCAAGGGGCCAATATTATCTCTCTTAAAGATGAGGCGAGGTCCCTGGATGGAAATAATATTAAGCAGGTGATAAACAAAATCAAAAAAGATTATCAGTGGGTCTGGTACCTCCAGACACAAACAGTCCCAGTTCCAAATGGAAGCACCTGTCTCTCTAATTCCCTTCTCAGACTGAGGACTCTCTCTCATCATCTCTGAGGAATGAGTTCTCTTCCAGGGTGTCCAGGGGCAAAGCTCTAAGAAAAACTTTGGAAATAGGACATCCAAACCAAGGAGATGGATTCTGGGTGCTCAATAAGAGACAAAGGCAGAGAACACTTGGGAAACTCTCCCTAGTTCACTGAAAAAAGCATTTCCAAAGTAGGTCTGTGGAATCCTTGAGATCACCCAGAACCTTTCACGGGATACAGGAGGACAAAGCCATTTTTATAACATTACTTTGACACCATTTGCCTTTCACTATTTTGACATTTGCTAAAGTAAAACTTAGTAAGAATGGAAATTATAGTACCAACTGCAGTGTAGTTATTCTTCACCACCACTTTCTCGCAGGAAAAAAAAAAATCCAAACCAGTTTCACTTCAAAATGTCCTGGTTAAATCACGAAAGCATATTTTCTATTTATCATCCTGAAATCCACATTTTTTACAGGTCTGAAACGATGACAAGGACGTGCACATAAGGCACTTCTGCTACAGTCCAAAGGGCCGTGTCCCAGGGAGAAAAATGTATGACATGAATTTGCCTCTTCTTTTAGGCAATATCATTTTTAATTGAAGGAATGAGTTGATAAAACCATGGTTACTTAGACTAGTTGAACTGGCAGACACTTTCCTGAAAATGAATGTGAGTCTGTCCTTTTTAAAAATCAACTGAGGGCACTTGTTGCCTTGATAAAATGTAAACTCCCAGAGAAAACCAGAATTATGGAAAATTGAGTCCTATCACTATAAACTTGACAAATTACAGTATGGACTAATTTTTCTTTTGGGATCTGTGGTAAAAAATAAAACATGTGATTTTGGATAACTTGACCCCAGTATAATTAACACTATATATTTATATAAGACATAGTGAAACAATAGGTAACTTTTTTAAAAAATCATACAATTGTACTATATCCATTAATATACAAGAGAGCGCTAGGGAGTTAATATAACAGAATAGGAAATCTTCAATGACATTGTTTCAGATTTCACTTTGCAAATAACCTTTGAGAAAATATAACTTATATAGTTATGATTGAGTATGAAAGTTGTAACAAAGTTGAATATCCATAATCTGAAAAGGTTATTAAAAGACTATTCCTACATATTTCCATGAGATTGTATATTTTTTCATAGATTTCAAACAAAACATTCAATGTAGAAGAAACTATGGAAACTAAAATATCTTCTAATGAGACAAAAATGACAGTTGCAAAAATATAAAATGTAAAAGTTCCCCTCTTTTCATTATCCTTATGTTTACAGAAAGTTATTTTCTTAAAAATGCTTTGTTTGGGCCTCCCTGGTGGTGCAAGGGGTTAAGATGCAACCTATGAAGCTGCCTGCAGCCACTGCAGCATGAGTTCAATCCCTGGCCAGGGAACTACCCCACATAGTGCAGCAGACCTCTGCAGCCTAGCCCCCTGCTCCCCTCAGCAGTGTGTTTCAGTACATCTGCCTGATGTGCTCCCCACTCCGTCTGTGGTCAATCCTCTCACCCCAAGCATCTCTGGCCTGCACCTCAGCTCTTCTATGCATAAGTAAATAAATCTTTAAAAAAATGCTTTGTTAGCATACATTGGTTATTAATATTCTAAAGTAAGAAAGTAATACCATCTTAAAAGCCTTTATTCTAGTAAATATTTAAAGCTCTAACCCACATAAAAAAATATGCATGGGATCCGTAATAATTTGTGAGACTGTAGAGACATCCTGAAAGAAAAATGTTTGAGAATCGCTGACCCATTTCCTGGGCCTGGACTCGGGGAGAAGGTGTGGGTGTTTCAAAGGTTCTGGTGCAGGAGAGGAGGGTCTCGGGGTGTGGCTGTCAAGGTCTCAGTCCCCAGGGCGCTGTCTGGGGCGGGAAGGTTACTGTTGGGGATTCCTCATCTCCCCAGTTTCACTTCTTCTTCTTCTTTTTTTTTTGAATACTTTAAAATTTTTATTTTGAAATAATTGTAAACTCAAACAGATTCTCACAATAGTAACAACTTGCTGTATTGTACAATATTACAACCAGGAAATTGATATGGATATAATCCGTTGACCGTATTCAGATGTCACCAAGCTCTATACTTCCTTATTTGTGTGCTATTGGGTATTTATGTTATTCCATGCAAATTTCATTACTTCTTGCATCTTGCCACCACCTACAAGATATGGAAATGTTACATCACCACAGGGCTCCCTCCTACTACTCCTACACACTCCATTCATCCAGTTTCGCTTCTTACAGCCTGCGTCGAGTCCTTCCTCCTGGATACTGGTGACTCACCCCAGGGCTCACTCCCCATTGCCTGGAGGTCTCCGGAGCAGCCAATCAGCAGCCCCGCGGCTCCAGTTCCAAAGCCCTCACCCGCCCGCCGGGACTCCGTCTCCCCAGCCCGGGTGGAGGCGCGTCCTGGGGGATGGGGGGCGCAGCCCTCCTGCTCCTGCTCGCGGTGGCCGCGGCCCCGAGGGAGACCCGGGCGGGTGAGTGCGGGTCGGGAGGGGACAGGGCGCTCCCAGAGGCGGGAGCGAGGGCGTGGGCGGGCGTGGGAAAGGCGCGACCTCGCCGCCGCCCTCCCCCCACCTCGGCCCGCCCCGTCCTGGCCCCTTTCCGTTCCCCGAGACCCCAGCCTCCTCTGGCCCCCGAGTCCCGGCCATTTTCGTCCCGCAGCCGCTTTTCACTCTCGCTCGTCTTTCACCCACTTTCTGTCTCGTGGGCGCCCCCCGGGACTCGAGCCCCCGAAGGGGAGAAGAATAGCCCGGGTCTCCCCTCCCGCCCCCAGGCCCCCACTCCCTGAGGGTTTTTCACACCGCGATGACCCGGCCCGGCCTCGGGGAGCCCCGGTACATCGCCGTGGGCTACGTGGACGACACGCAATTCGGGCGGTTCGACAGCGACTCCCCGGGCCAGAGCGCGGAGCCGCGGGCGCCCTGGGCGGAGAGCTTGGGGCAGGAGGAGCGGGACGAGGAGACTTGGCACCAAAGGGACAACATACTATGGTACGGAGCGCAGCTGGACACCCTGCGCGGCCTCTACAACCAGAGCGAGACCGGTGAGCTGGCGCGGGGCCGGGCCGGGTCAGCACCCCCATCCCCACGGACGGGGGTCGCTCAGGGTCTCCCCCTCCAGGCTTCTCTGCAACCTGCCCGGGAACAGAACGCGGGGCTTTCACCCCGTTTCATTCTGGACAGGCTCTCACACCCTCCAGAGGATGTCTGGCTGCGACATGGGGCCCGACGGGCGCCTCATCCACGCGTACAGACAGTTCGCCTACGACGGCGCCGATTACCTGGCCCTGAACGGGGACCTGCGCTCCTGGACCGCGGCGGACACGGCCGCTCAGATCACCCGGCGCGAGTGGGAGGCCCGGGGTGAGGCAGAGAAATTCAGGAACTATGCGGAGGGCAAGTGCTTGAGGTGGCTGCGCACATTCCTGGAGCACGGGAAGGAGACTCTGCAGCGCACGGGTAAGAGGGGCCTGGAGGCCTCCCGGTGCCCCCCTGCCTGGAGTCACTGCGGGAAATGAGTCCTCTCTCTAGTCCCGAGAGGGGGACTCCCCTGGGTTCATGTTCTGCACGAGAGAGACCCCCAGAGACTCCGGCTTCTCCTGAAGGACAGTGAAGGGATCCCGTCTCTCCTGAGAAAGACAGACAGTCCCTGACATCACACGTCACCGGGTCCTTTTGACCAGGGGCCTGTTTGAGAACCACGAGTTTCTCTCTCAGTCTTGTTTCTGGTCTGAGAACATTTTCAGTTATGTGATTCCTGCTTTTCTGTGTCATTCACCTTCCACCCAGGTCAGGAATAAAAAGTCTGTGTTCCACTCCCTCTGCTTCATCCTACCCTGGGTTTTCGTCCTCATTCTAGAACTTTCTAAGGAATAGGAGAATCTCACAGATTCCCCAGATTAGCCTGTTTTTTACATTTTATGCTTCTTCCTGCCACACCAGTTGTCTTGTCCATTGTGAGGATGGTCTCATGAGGATTCTTCAGTGTCCATGGAGGAAATATAAAGTGAGTTTTCTGATTTACCACCTCAGATCCCCCAAAAACACGCATGACCCACCACCCCACCTCTGAGCATGAGGTCACCCTGAGGTGCTGGGCCCTGGGCTTCTACCCTGCGGACATCACCCTAACCTGGCAGCGAGATGGGGAGGACCTGACCCAGGAGATGGAGCTGGTGGAGACCAGGCCTGGGGGAGATGGAACTTTCCAGAAGTGGGCGGCTATGGTGGTGCCTTCTGGAGAGGAGCAGAGATACACGTGCCATGTGCAGCATGAGGGGCTGCTGGAGCCCCAAGTCCTGAGATGGGGTGAGGAGGAGGATGTGGGCACTGAGGCTGTTCTCAGGGCCATCAGGAGCCCTTCTGGAGACCTTCAGGGGGTCAGGATAAGGTCTGGGGCTCAGGGTATGATCTTCCCTTCCCTTCCAGTGCCCCCTCCTCAGTCCTCCATCCCTACCTTTGGCATCATTGCTGGCCTGGTTCTCCTTGGAGCTGTGCTCACTGGAGCTGCAGTGGCTGCAGCTGTGATGTGGAGGAAGAAGCACTCAGGTAGGGAAGGGAGTGGGGGATCTTGTCCACCGAGGGCTTTCACGTCCCAGGGAGAACTTGCCCTGCCTGGTTAATGGGAAGTACCATCCACACACACGTGTGTTGCCCAGAGGGCATTTGGTCCAGTCCCCCCTCATGTCCTTTCTTCTTTTTTCCCAGTCCTGACCTGGGTTTTTCTTTACTCACAGTTCTGAAAACTTCCCTGTTGTGCAGGATTAAAAGATTCCTTTAGGTCTTCTGACCTGACTGCTCCCTGGTCTCACATGATGTTTCTTCCCACAGGAGGACAAGGAGGAAGCTACACTCAGGCTGCAGGTAAGTGTGGATCAGGGGTTTGAACCCTGAGCCCCTGGGAACAGTATAAATGGACTCAATGGGGGAGTCACCCTCATCAGTCCCTCCTGTGGTCTCATCTCTGACCAGGTTCTGTTTTGTTCTCAACCAGGCAACGACAGTGCCCAGGGCTCTGATGTGTCTCTCAGCCCCTAAGGATCTTTTACAATGAACCCGATGAGGCTCCTGTTGTGCACACCCTAGGCAGCAGGGCGATGATGTCACTGTTGTTCTTAACTGTGATATTGAGCATTTGTTCATATTTTTACTTTTCTATGACTACAGTTGCTGTTTGTATGGAAGTTTTGTACATTTTTATAGAGGAAGTGCTATTTATTTATTACACTATTTTGTCCTTATTAATATTAGGTTATTTCTTTCTGATCATTGAGTTTTAGGCATTATGTGTAGATACAGTCCTTTATCAGATTCGTGACTTGCAAATGTTTCCCCCCCACACTGTGACCTGAACTCCTTTACTGATGGGAAAACAAACACTATTGCCCAGACAGGAGCATGGAGATTAAAAAAAACATAGACACACACACACATATATATGCATATGTGTGTGTGTGTATTTTTTTTTTTAGAAGAGAAAAGATAAATTGCTAACTGGTTTTGAGCAGATACTGGCTCACTGGGGTGTTGGGGGTGGAGGGGAATGACTTATGCATATCCTTGAGTGTTATTTAAATGTCCTTGTATGAGCATGAAATATGCTTTCTAAAGTAAATTACACTTCATTCCTCAAGTTATAAAACTCTTCACACATCATGACCAAATCATGTGTTAAGACCAGACTGACATGTGGGTTACAAGTGATGAACCCGCACATCATAGTTACAAAGTCATGGTTTCCCTTTGGGTTCACTCTGGTGTTGTCAGTTCTCAGGGTGTTGAACAAATGTATTATGTGTAGATACAGTCCTTTATCAGATTCGTGATTTGCAAATGTTTCCCCCCACACTGTGACCTGAACTCCTTTACTGATGGGAAAACAAACACTATTGCCCAGACAATACCTGTGTCCATCATGAGAATATCATGCAGAATATTTTCACTGCCCCTAATGTCTTCTGTGCTCCAAGGAAGCAAAAGCAAAAAAAAAAATGGAATCACATCAGACTAAAAAGCTTCTATGTAGTGAAGGAAACTATCGTTAAAATGAAAAGACAATATCAAATCGGAGAAACTATTTGCACATCATCAATCCAACAAGAAGTTAATATCCAAAATCTACAAAGAATTCCAAAACAAGAAAAAAACTCAAAGCAGGGCAGAGGAGCTAAATAGGTACTTTTCTAAAGAAGACAGACATGTGGCCAATAGGATAAATGTTTGTCATCATGTGCTGTCAGGAAAATGCCAATTAAGACCACAAGGAGTTACCACCTCACACTGTGAGAATGACCCACTGAAGGGTGTGGAGGAAAAGGAACTCTGGCACATGGTGGGTGGGAATGATGTCTGATCCTGTTAGCAGGCTGAATGAGGGGTTCCCTGTACCCTCAAAACTACACAGTCTACATGGGGTCTGCCATCAGCTGCATAAAGACAAAACATAATCTAAAGTGTAAGACCTTCAATAGAAAAGAACTTTAATACAATTAGTATAAAATAGAGAATCAGTGTGCAATAGAGAGAGAGAGAAGAGAAAGAATATAGTTAGAATAGTTCCCAAGTGAAGCATCCAAAGTTACCTGTCCCCTCATGGGTAAGTGCCCAGCCAAACAGGCTTGCCCAAAGCAGGCCCACTGAGGCCCGAAGGCCTGCCACAAGGCTAAAGCACCTACTGGTAGAGACCCATGGGACAGGGCAGGAGGGGCCAGGCAAGTCTGGAAGGACAAGAGCAAAATAAAAATCCACATCAAGATAACAGCTGCCATTGTCAGCTTCCCCATGGGCCTCCCACCCACATCTTTGTCTCTTTCATGTGTCTCTTTCCATGTCCTCAATTCCCTGGCACAAGTCCACGTCTGAGGAACAAGCCTGGCTTCTTCTTCACATGTCTCTCTCTCCATGAGCCTCCTCCAGTCTTCTTTCTGCATCTCACTCCACATCTTCCTCCTCTTCCTTAGCTTCTCATCCCTGCTCAGCCCCACCTTTCCTTGGGTGGGGCGGTAACCTGGAACCTTTCTTTTCTATGGATAGCACAAAGGTCCTGCTACTATAGGAAAAAAAAAAGAAGGTTCCTCAAAATGGTCAAGCATCCCATTCCTTGGTATTTATCCAAAGAAGGTAAAAACACTAATTCTGAGGAATATGCGCCTCCTCTGGTCACTGCAGTGCTGTCCACCATAACCAAGCTATGGAGACAATGTAAGTGCCGAACGGCAGATGAGGGGATAAAGAACACAAGCTATATGCACAATGGAATACTATTTGGCTGTGAAAAAGATGAAATATTGAATTTGCAACAACATGGATAGATATGGATGGGATTATGCTAAGTGAAATAAGTTTGAAGGAGAAAGTTAAATACTGGATGATTTCATTCATATTTGGAATGTAAGGAAACAGAGCAGGGACAGACTAAACCAAAACATAAACTAAATCAAAACATACTCTATATACATGACTGCAGAGTTGAAGCTATGGGCTGGGGTAAGAGTAGGAAACAAAGTAGGAAGAGGGCCAATGGACTATGGTGAAGACTATGCGTGCCCTTAGGGTGGGTGTGATGTGGTAACAAACATCTGAAGAGGCTTGACCCTTGTCTCTGAACACATACAGTGTGTAAACCAATGCTAATCTCAACTGAATAATACAATGAGGGGAAAAATAAAAAAAGTAAATTATCTCCTCTCTCAGTCACTGACCTCTGGACTTTGCCTTCGCCTCCTCACTGTCATGCAGGCTGAGGGGCTGTTTTCCCACAAGGTCAGAGGCAGGAGGTGCAGGGATTTCTGGGGCTGCTCAAACCCTGCTGAGTAGAGACACTGCAGAGAGGGCGGCTCTGAGGGGAAGAGAGACAGAGGGTCAGAGTAATCCCAGTGCTGAGTTGAGGATCTGGTTCCCAAGAAGAGGGGAGTGCATGTGTGCATGTGTGTGTGTGTGTGTGTGTGTGTGTAACAGGAATGAAGGATACACAACATAAGATGATGGGAAGTCAATTAACATCAAGCCCCGGAATAAATTAATTCAAATCACATACAGAGTAAAGAGTGTACCTCAATAAATACAGTTCCATGGAGAAGCAGCTTCTGAGTAGGACTGAAAAAGCATTGGACCTGAAGAAGAGGAGGAGGTTTAGAAATATCTCATGGTTGGCTTGAGGTGTAAAGAGCTGGGCAATACCCCTCCCCCCACCCTGGCCCCTGCTGGATGTGGTGGCATCTTCACCCCTGACAGCTCCCTCCCCCAAACCTAAACATTCATCTCCTTTGGAGACACCTGTATATGTACATATATGTATATGTGTAATCCCAGCTTCTTCTTAATCTCCCACCTGTCTGGGGCATTTAGGTGGTTCCCATAGCTTGGCTACTGTAAATAGTTCTGCAGTGGTGACTGGAGAGCAGGGTCCCTTCACAGGAGAGTATTTATCCTCTGTGAGGAGATCCTCAGAGTGGAATTGCTGGGTCCAAAGGCAGAACCACATTTACTCCTTTAAGAAACCTCAATACTGTTTCCATAAGGGCTGGCTCAGTCTATATCCAAAAACAATGCAGGACTATCCCCTTTTTTTCCATATCCTTGCCAGCACTTGAGTTTCTGGTCTTTTGGATATGGGCCATTCTCACAGTGTGAATTGGTTTAAACCAGGGGATCATAAAGGCACAAAATGTGGGCAAAAAGAAATCCTGTAACACTCAGGCCAACACAAGGCTGTCTCACACTGTGAAAGAAAATAATCATGAAGAAATTCAGGTGAATGACCTGAGTGTTAACATTATCAATGGTCCACTGCATTCTCAAGATGTCCCTGAAAGCATCCCCATCACCTAGTGCCAGCCTCTCTGCCTCACCCCCACCCCCACTGCAGTCCTCCAGGGTCTCACCTTTAGGGGCTGAGATACACTTCTTAGCACTGGGACTATGGCTGCCTGGGGGAGAACACAACAAAGCTTGGTCAGAGATGAGACCACGGGAGGAACTGATGAGTGTAACTTCCCCATGGGCTCCAACTACACTGTCCCCAGGGGCTCAGGGATCCAACCCCTGATCCACTCTTACCTGCAGCCTGAGTGTAGTTTCCTCCTTGTCCTCCTGTGGGAAGAAGCATCATGTGAGACCAGGAAGGAGTCAGGTCAGAAGCATCATGTGAGACCAGGAAGGAGTCAGGTCAGAAGCTTAAAAGAATCTTCTAATCCTGTACCACAGGGAAGTTTCCAGAACTGTGAGTAAAGTCCCAGGTCAGGACTGGGAAAAATGAAGAAAGGAGGTGAGGGGGGACTGGACCAAATGCCCTCTGGGCAACACCCGTGTGTGTGGATGGTACTTCCCATTAACCAGGCAGGGCAAGTTCTCCCTGGGATGTGAAAGCTCTCAGTGGACAAGATCCCCCACTCCCTTCCCTACCTGAGCACTTCTTCTATACCCTCACACATAAAGCTACCTTTAGTGTAATCAGCACACCTACAAAGAAAACTGAGCTGGAAATGAGGACCATGGCAAGGATGGAGAACTGAGAACTCCTGGAAAGGAGCAGAGACACACATGCCCTGTGCAGTATGAGGGGCTGCTGGAGCCCCAAGTCCTGAGAAGGGGTAAGGAGGGGGATGTGGGCACACGGCTGACTCAGGGGCATCAGAAGCCCTTCTAGAAACCTTCAGAGGGTCAGATTGAGGCCTCAGGTTCAGGGTCTGACATTCCCTTCCCTTCCAGTGCCACCTCCACAGCTGCCCACTTCTGGAAGTTTCCATTCCCCCCTCCCTGGTCTGGAGTTCACCAGCTCTGTGTGCTGGGTCAGGTCCTCCCCATCTCGCTGCCAGGTCAGCGTGATGTCCGCAGGGTAGAAGCTCAGGGCCCAACACCTCAGGGTGACCTCATGCTCAGAGATGGGGTGATGGGTCATGTATGGTGATTGGGGGGCCTGAGTAGGAAGAATCAGAAATTTCATGCTTTGTGTTTCCTCCATGGACACTGAAGCAGCCTCATGTGACCATCCTCCAGTGGACAGAACAGTATGCTTGGAGGGAGGAAGCACAAACCCCAGAAACCAGCCTGGTCTGGGAGTCCGGGATAGCAGGTGAGAGCCCAGGGTGGGATGCAGGTCTCTGAGCATTTTGCTGCTGACTTGGGTGGAGGGTGATGACACAGACAGGCAGGAGGGAGATCTCCAAAAATGCTCTCTCACCAAAAAACAAGATCTCGAGAGAGAAACTCGTTGCTCCTAAGATGGCTGCTGGTGAAAAGGGTCCTGTGCAGGGTGATTTCAGGGGTGGTCTCCCCTCTTTCTCAGGAGAATTGGATTCCTGAACTGTCCTTCAGAAAAAGTAGGAGCCTCTGGGCCAGTCTCCATCCCGGAGCTGGAACACGTGGCCGACAGCTCCCTCTCTGGCCAGGAGGGGGCGCTTTCTCACCATGATCCATTTC